ACCTTCCGGTGTTACGTACCCGATAATAATAATAATAACAATAATAAATCGTCAATCATAATTTTTTTTTTTTTTTAATAAGTTTTTAAGTAATAATTTAGAGAAAGAAAGAGAGAGAGAGAGAGAGAGAGAGAGATAGTAATAAAAAAAAAGAAGGTAATGAATGATAATAATACTTACGTAAATGTGTCGTTGTTGATTCCTGTTTAACCGTAGCAGAAGATGCAAAATTTGCCGTTAATAAAATGAAAAAACCGATGAAAAAATTGGCCATGTTGATTGTTCTCTGGTTAAGCCGGGAATAAAACACAGAACAAGTGAAACTCAAAGTTTTCTTATATAATAATGATTAGGATAGATAATCAGGTACGGCAATGAAACCTAAAAAAAAAAAAAAAAAACAATATGGCGGATCAATGTGTATATTCCATTGGTAAATTTTAAATCTCCTACTATTAGAAATGGGATAGTCTATGCAAAAACAATCGATTTATTTCGGTTATTATAAATCGGATATTCGTGCATTTTATTATTATCGAATAATTAAAATGTCGTGTAAGAAGAAAATTTATTTATTTTTTTGTGGTACGACGATTTTTTTGAGGGGGCGGGGCGGGACCGACTTACATTAATTATCAATATTTTTTTTTTTTTATAGATATAATCAATTTGTAAATCGGACGACTATCTAGGTTCACTTTTATTTTTATACATTTTAAAAAAAAAACCTGTTTGTATTATTATTTGCCCCGCTCATTGCGCAATCGATTCAGGTACGCATTTGCATTTGTTTTAACAGGTACCTTTAAATTTAATTTTATACATATTATTTATAAACAAACAACCAAATGAATTATTTTTTTTTTTTTACAAATAAAATATAATAATATGCAACAAAAAAAAAATCATTTCAAGATTCTTATAAAATTAATCATATTTTTTTTAAATGTTTGTCGTTTGTCGTTTGTTAAAATTTGTTGTTTGTTCATTTTATTTATAATTTATAATACGCGCACGTAAAAATTTATACACATTCACAAAAAACATCAAACATAAAAAAAATGAAATGTTTCGATGCCAAAAAAAAAAAAAAAATTTCAAAATTTTATTAAAAAAAAAAAAAATAATAATGATAATAAATCAAATTTTTTTTTTATTTATTTATTCATTATTAACTTTAAAATAATTCATTAATTTTCAAATTATAAAAAAAAAAATATTAATAAATAAATAAATAAAAAAAAAACTGTAAAATTTATTCGGGTCGTTTGTCGGATCGATTAATAAATAATAATAATAATAATGATAAAATAATTTTTAAAAGGATTCATTAAATTAATTAAATTTATTATTATTAAAAAGAAAAAGAAAAAGTTAATTAATAGATATTATGTAAATAAATAAATAAAAAAATAAATTTTTTTTTTTTATAATAAATAAATCGAACGGAATTTTTTTTTTTTTTTTCATGTATAAAAATCCTCAAGGCATCCCCGTTTTAATAATAAATATTATTATTATTATTTACATTTCGAAAATATTCAAAC